GTTTTACAGGAGTTCAATATTTGGCATGGAGGGTTTGAAGCATATTTTGGCCTTTAGAATTGAAGTTAGCATTTTCAGAAATGTTCCTGAACTAGATTATTAACAATGTTAATTGTTTTATGTATTGAAGAAAAATCCATTCAATTTAAATATAATGCTTCAGATTTCCCCCCTATATTTGGCTTGTATTTCTGTTGAATTTGTATACCAGGGTAAGAAATAGACATAATGAAATGATGACTCAAATGTCAAGGCCCCCTGCCAATTCCAATAATAAGGAACTGGCTCATTGAGAAGATGCAATTATCATCTAAACATGCTCATGTAGTTTAAAAATAAAGCCATAGGCTAGATTTTTAGTTAGAAAAGAGTAGTAATGTGCTCATTCTTATGTATACATTTCTGCATACCCACCTGAGAAATGGTTTTGAGAAGGGGACATTTTGGAGGCTATTGTTGTCCAAATTGGAGCTATAATCAGTGATGGCATAGAATCTTACCCAGGTGAATAAGTAATGTTTTTGAATTAATGTGTCATCAAATTCCAGTATGTAGTTTCTTAAGATATGGAAAGAAGAAAGCAAATCAGGCTTAAAAATTAATTATGTTCTTGTTGATAAATGTGACCTTGATATGCATTATTTCCCCATAATAACTGTTCTTATTAATGGATTACTTCATGTTGCTTGAAGTCTCTAGTTTTTATTTGGCTTGGATAAGAAAGTGCTATTTTACAATAATTTAACATATATAATTCTTAGTCTAACACTAAAAGCTTTCATTATTTATCTATTTTGTCTATGCACTTAATACCAATGAACCACTACCCCTGCCATCAAGAGAAAAAGTTGAGTTAATCATCAGTCATGACAGTAAAACATTTGCATATTGAATTGAAAATGCTTCTGATAAATTATGATCTTCGTGATTTTATTTATTTATTTATTTATTTCATTTATTTATTTTATGACTAGAGGTACAAAATGCTCGTAAGCAAGTTGGTGAGATACTAGTGAAACAGAAAGCCATTATCTTAGACTCTAAAGTATTACATCTTGATCCTGCTGTAATAGGTTATAAACATGTAAGGCTTGATCAAGATGTCAACTTGTCACTGAGAGGCATCTGGTGCAACAATCCATGGCAGGTTTCAATTCAGCAGTCTTGAAGTCAGAAGAAACTTCCAGATGGCTTAATTAGGCTTTGATCCCATCACTTGGTTTCCTCTGCATCTCTAAGTGCTCATCCATGTCTCACACAGTCTCTCTCTCTCTTTTTTTTTCTCTCTCTCATTTCTTTTCTCCCCATGTGTTTTTATCTCTCCTTAAGCTCAACTTCTTTTTCTGCACCTTCTTACCCATCTAATGTCAAGCACTGAATATGAATAAATTAGTTATTAAAAACAGATATGCTAGCAATAAAGACTCTCTTAGATATCCATGTTAATCTGTGCCATGATCTCTTTCACATCATTCAGATCTAATATTGTTCTGAGAAACTGGGATCTTATTTTGAGTTACAAGGCTTTGTGAAGAATTGGAGAATAAATTTGTTTGCAATCCAGCAAGCTGTTTGGAGGTTAATATTTTCATGTGAACTCAACCCATTGAAGTTGATTTCAATGTTTCTTTGTGTGGAGGATTATTACAAATCAGGGTAATGGCACATATTCTTATACTGTAAGTGACATGATAAGTGTCAACAGATTGTAAGAGAGTTTCCTCTGATAACCTTGATTTTAGTAAATCCTTTTAATTTCTGAGTGTCAGATTGCTACATCTGGAAATTAAGAAACTTAGACTAATAATTAATATTTGTATTCCTTTATAAGTCATACTTGATACATGTATATTTATATGATATCAATTATTATGGTTTAGATGTGGTGTCCCACAAAAGCTCACATACGAGACAATGCAAGAAGATTTGGAGGAGAAATGATTGGGTTATAATCTTACCCCAATCAGTGAATTGATCCCTGATGGGATTAGCTGAGTGATAACTAAAGGCAGATGGTGTATGGCTGGAGAAGTGATTCATTGTGGGCATGGCTATGGGGCATATATTTTGTATCTTGAGAGTGGAGTCTCCCTCTGCTTCCTGATCATCATGTGAGCTGCTTCCCTCCTGCATACTCTTCCACCACGATGTTCAGCCTCACCTCGACCCCTGAAAAATAGGAGCCAACTGCCTTTGGACTGAGACCTCTGAAACCATGAACCCTCAGGTCTTTTAGTCACAGCAGTGTAAAAGAGGACTAAAAAACATCAATTGACCATAAACTTTTTCTCATCCCCATTATTCAGTGAATTCAGATTCATTTTAAAAGAGAGGAAGGGGGAAGGTGGCTTATCTACCAGGAAGAATGCATTTTATTATAAAGACTGGATTAAAAAAAATCTCTTGACAGTTTATGTGACCAACCTGAGAAAGTTACTTTTAAGGATTAAATGATATAATCTACCTAAAATTCTTAGCATCTGCAGCTCCCAACATTAAGTTGCTGAATAAAAATTGTTATTACTTTTTCCACTATATTGTTATTGTTCCTTCCCACCTGTAATATTCCCTCTACGCATTCCCCTACTCACTTCTTTTTGCCTTAGAGAAGACAGTATCAGATATCAGCAGGTTTAATGATTTTAGAGAAATATCAACCTCACCTAACATCTTTGTAAAAACAGGGCTTGGTCTCTGCTTCTTGTCTTTTTAATAAAGATTAGAAAACCACTTGTCACAAGTCCTCCAGGAGCTCTATTTGGGTTTGCTTTTTACTTACAAATTATTACATTTTTAAAATCCCTGGTCTTCTTTGCAGATTCATGAAAGTTTGGAATCAAATTTTCATTACCCCTGTCTACTAATATAATTTATATTCACTTATCAAAGCATTTTGCAGTGGCTTCCAAAATGAAAGAGATGGATTAACCTAGCCACTGACTGAAATGGCAATGGATTTTGAAAAACAATAAACAACATGAGTTCTTTTTACTTTTTTTTTTGGTGGTTGTTTAATAGCAATGCTTCAAAAACCTTAATAATACCCTGGAAGAAGTCCAGCATTTGAAATACATCATCTCTAGGACAGAACAATAGTGTTGTTATTCATCTTCTGTTTTGTTCTCAGGGTAAGCATTAAGGAAAAGTATAACCAAATTACATTTTTTAATCCTCAGAAATATCCTCACATTTGTCTCATCAGTTAGAAACTGCAAGTAAATTCTGGGAAATAACTTTCAATAGATAAAGTAGGAAATAATCTATAATTTTCTGTGGTCGTATCTGTTTTGAAAATCTTCCTTTATCTTTTCTAGACAGGTACCCATCTTTTTATGATGTGCTGATTGAAAAGTTTTAAATATATTTATTTATCTTACCATACATAAAGAACTTCTGAAAGACAAGTTTAATTTGGCTGTCAAGAATTCATTTTTAGGCCAGGCATGATGGTGCACACCTGTAATCCCAGTGGTTTGAGAGTTTGAAGCAGGAGGATCACAAGTTCAAAACCAGCCTCAGCAATT